CGTATACCGCCATACAGTACGATTACTCAGGGTTCTATAGTGTAGTTCGCTGCGGACGGTGGGGTGTCAGGCAGTGTGAGTGTGCCACGGTGAAAAACCCGTTCTCTGCCAGTTGTTGAAGCAGTTACGCGACAACAGTTGTTGGGAAACGAGTGATACGAACGACATGATACAGTCTTGTCACTTGCTCGCTTTAACAGCTGGTGGAGAACGGGTTTGGCACCGTGCCAAACTCATCCTGCCTGACACGCCCCACCATCCGCAGCGAACTACACTATAGGTGGGTTCATTTTACCAGTTATCATAACACCCAATGAAACCAAACTGGACGAGGTCACATAGTCTTGCTTTCTGCAGATGCCAGACGTGTGGGAGGGAGGGGAGGGGGGATGGACTGCTGCAGCGATAGCCTTCTTCTCCACCCATTCTGGTCCCCGGATATGTGACAAGACAATTGAGTATGTCGCGCGACAGTCTTGTCCTGCCTGGTCTTTTGAAACTGAATATCGAAGGAAAGGAAAAGTTCTTTATCGCCCGTCAAGTAGTCTCGTCTCCTCTTGAATTCTCAAGACTTTCGCTGCTCCAATCAACAGACTAGTGCATATCAGAGAATTTGCCCGCGCGCATCGCCGCATGGTACGCCGCATGGACGAGCGAGAACAAGTATATTGGCTGTTCCGCGTCCTCGTAGTCAGCCTGTCGCATACACAGTTAGTGGAAACAGTCTGAGGCCGGCGCCATTACCCCGCCTCCCAAACGTCTGAGCGTCCGCAGTGCGACAAGCCTATCAAGTACTAGAGAAAGATTTGTAAAATAGCACATTTCATGCAGAAGGTAAAGCTCTACTCATCAACTCTGCTTGCTCTGCAGCAGAATAAACTCATAGAGGGTACATCCCTAACTCTTTAATCCAAAACCAGATTAACCTCTGCATGAAGTATAAAAAATTAATAGCTGGCAAAACTAGTAAAAGACCTCACTTTTCCTCATTCCATGGTATAGCGCTTCAAATAGTGTTCGATGATTGACATATCAACGCTCGTTGGTGGACTTTTCTGGAGAGCCAGCAAAGTCTCACCCAGAAACTTAGCTCTGGGCCTAAACGAAGTTGGCGTAGATAAGACTATATATAGCAAAATTTTTTTGCCACTTACAAAGCGGAAAATACAGCGGTATTCAGTGCGTTGGTTATCTTCGATAATACTTCGGAAAAGGCAGACCAATGCGATTTACGTAGTGCCTTATAAGAGTCTGCAAATAGATTCATTAGAGTGAAACATCGTACTGGAAATCGAAATAGAAAAAAACACTTTTTAATATTCACGGATATGTTGGATATTTAAAGGCAAAACCCGCAATCATTGGCCATCACAGATAGTGGATTAGGGGTTCGCATATAGACGACAAGGTTCTGAGTAACTCGATAGTGAAGAAAAAGCAGAAAAACATGCCAACTGCCCTAGATAGAACCCCATTTTGATCCCAGTTTGTACGTGCCCAATTAACTCCATATCCCACATCCCGTACAAGTGACGATTTTCATGCTCTTTGTCATGAACCATGTTCATGATGCGATTGCCTTCCCCCGCCCTCGCTGGAGAGGCATGCAAACGGGCGAGATACGAAGGTGGGAACGCCCATACGATCGGGCAGTGTCGGTACATCCGGGGGAGATGTCAGGCAGTCAGGTTGGGCACCGATCGAGGATCCCCACGTGAGGACCGGACGAGGTCTAGCTTAACCGCTTGAAGACGGCGGACCCACCTGAGTCGACAGAAGGGAACGGTCAAGGAATCTGAGCTTCCGTTCAAGGAGTCAAAAGAGGTCAAACCTAGTCAAGAGACGCAGAGTCAAAGAATGGTAAATGAGTGGTCAGATTTCGTAGTTGGAATGTTAGCTTTCCCTTGAGAGTGATCAGATTGTAAGTATGAAATAAATGTGTGACTTTACGTTGTTGCGTGAAACGTAAAATGTAAGAACCACCAAACTAACATCTGAGGAGTGATGCCCTCAGAACATGGTGCATCGGCCGAACTGAGTTTCCGGTCAATTTTTCCACAAATGCTCAACGTCGGCCGCATTTCAAGTCCTCTATTGAGGAAAATGCAATACTAAATGCTCAAAATGCTTGCATATATCGCCCAACAGGAATCCGGTCAGCCACAGACTGGTATTTTTTAACGGATAGGACAAGTTGCAGAGCGTCCACAACGAGGTAGGAAAGGTCAACTATTATCATAGAAAAGGAAAACCAGTAGAAGCGCAAAAAACGAAACTTTGAATGGCCAGTACGGATTTCACCTCCCATGCAAATTCAATTTTTACGGCGTGCAGTTTAGGGCCCAAACTGCATGCCTTGTAAGTACCCTTGCCTGGGACGTTCAGAATTCCGTCGATCTCATTGTATTCTCATTTTTATTTCCTTGTTTTCAATTGTTTTACTGAGTGGCTAGGTTACACACTACCGCGGTAACGACAACTGTGATGAGAAGGCAACTCAAGAAATCCCGGTGGCAGTCCGATAGTCTGGCCAGGAAACCAGGTACCTGTTTACACATTATCCTTTATTTGTTATATTTTGTCTGCATTCGCGAATGCTTGTTGATACGTCCGCATAGCAGCACGGACTCAAGCTACTACAACGCTGATCGGCGCAGCGTCTTTTCTGCGAGTCTTTTGAGGAAGGTAGTTACATGACAAATAGCGAACACAGTCGCCCCAACAGAGGACAACTTGGCAGAATTGCTCGCCGCATCAATGCAGATTTTTCGTTTTGATCTCAGCTCCCGCTGAAAACTAAATGAAACGTCATTCCAAAATGCTCTTTTCCCAGACTTTTAAATCTATCAATCCTTTGGAAAACTTTTTGAGTAAGCAAGTTTAACTCTGCTACGATTAAGTAATCGTATACTTGTCAGAATGACCACCATATCAAATGACACCTTTCAATGTTCAGACCGCTCCTTTGCAAAAAGGGGAAAACCTTCGAGGAATCCAGCTTCTCGCATCACTTGACAGTCAACGCTAGATTTCAATTCTCAAAACATACTCAATGAAGAATTCCACTTTCCCACAACAAAAGTAAGATAGGAAGTCCTTCAAAAATTCTCTCAATAATGAGCATTCTCATGTTGTGTTGTCGCTATCCTCAGTCATCTCAAGAAGCTTTCATTTAGACAAGCGGAGATGATAACACTATCTCATATAAGCGTGGCCTGCTTATCGTTGTTGCACTGGCAGTCACAAGACACAGCCGCAGTGCTCCCAGAAAGCATTAGTAGCACGAGGAAATGGTCATGCCACAACCACCGTTTATCCTCAAAACAGCTAAGCAGAAGCTGACGCGGCATCTTAACGCCCTCTCTGGCCTAAAAGGGGGGGGGGGGGGGGGGGGTGGCAAGAAGCTCAGAGTTCTAAGACCCTTGGAATTTCCCTGTTCAAGCTCACGAACTGGAGCTTTTTCTAATCTCAAAAAATATACTTGTCAAAAACTTTGATGTCCAAGATTGCACAGCGCAGAGAGGACATCACTCAATACTATGCAGAATGTAATCAAACCATCAGCGGCCTCCCTCAGGACCTCAAATCCGACGTCGAGGCGCAGTTCGATGAGTACTGGTCCGCGCGACAAGGGGATACCCTACTATATCACCACACTGGAAGAGGTGGAACGTAAACTGGAGAAACGCTTGGTGGAACTTCAAATGGGCTTGAAACTGGACATTCCAACAAGTGCAGATCCAACAGCTCATATCAAACTCAACATCATCCAGCAAAAGGTTTCAGGCCCGCCGCCTCTCACTACACATGGTCCAATGAGGCGAAGGCTACTCGGTAACGAGCTCAAGATTCCAAACTTCTATGGCAATCCTGCAGGAGTTTGGTTTTTTTTGGGAGCTATTCGAGGAATTGGTGCACAAACAGCCTTACTCTAATATTGAGAAGCTTGTCCATTCTGCTAGTTGCTGCATAATAGATCAGCAAGGACACTTCAAATGAGATCAGAGAATCCCGACGAGGGCTGTTATCAACTAAAGAATAATTTCAAGAGCGCAGGCGAGATAACATATGGCCAAATGATTCGCAAGCTCAAATCCATGAATAAATGTCAAGATGACCACCGCTCCTTGAGGAATAACCTCAGTGACATACAGGCTATTATAGCCACTCTGGAGAAGCCGCGATGGTCCTTGAAACATTTTCTAAAAACGTTCAAGATGAAATGGCCAGAAAAGAATTCGATTCCGGAACCCTGTGGAGTATGACAGATCTCCTGGAGAATCTCACAATGGCTATAAAACGTAAGGAACATGTGGGCATAAAAGAGAACCGTATCACGATGAACACTCAATCTTCCAAGACCACGCGTGGAGAACGAAAATATACTGTACTGTGCGGCAACAGCAAAACTTAATAGGTATTGTCAAAAGTACGCCAATTCAAGCAGAAATAGAGCGCGTTAACGCGAACTCAACCGCTTGCTGGATAGTGCTTCATGGCCGCAAACACACCACGGCCTCTGCCGAAAGCAAGTTGTGCTCGGTGTGGATCCACACAATTTAATCCTCTGTTTCAGAATCAACGGACGGGAAGGAAGGGCTCACCGCTCAAGAAATCCTCATCATGAGGTATCCTTCGCCTCTCCAGCATAAAAGCGTTATGTCAAAAGTACGCCGAATTCAACTTAAAGGTTATTCCGCCAGAAGATCGTTAAGATGGCAGAAGCTTCGCCAAGGGGCGCATTCTGCACAAGCCGAAGGTATGCTCAAACCGACGGGGGAAACAGCTCGCGATGTTCGTTCGCACGACCGACTGCCGAGATAGCTTCGCTTCAAAAAACCTCCCGACAGACAATCTCCCTCACTTTTAAGAAACCGTGACGGGAAACCAGAAAGTTCGCTTCGGTCCATTACCGAAACGAAAAGGTTCCCTTGGAAACGTCAGAGTGAACCTTCAGGTCAAAGAAGGTAAGGCAGATGACCCATGAGGAGCTTACCGCAGCCTTCATTAGCAGAACTCATTGTGGCAATTTAATGATCGCCCCTTCTATCTGCACCGCACGCAGGCCGGTCCGGGTTTACGAGGCAATTTTACTTAAGCTTTTTCACTGGGCTTGTTGCCGAGGCCTTTTTGGAACAGATTACCCTGCCTTCTGTAGCAGACATTGGTTACTAACAGAATGCTGGCTCTTCGAGTAGCCATTATATTGGTGAGCGTTTCTAAAGTATATGGTGTTCTCATAACAGTGTGCCTCATGCTTCACACCGTTCAGTTATATCGCGGATTCAAACAGCATTGGACTAAACTCACTTTGCGGAGAAGTTAATTAGTTCTTCAGACAATTTGCTTCAACAGGCATCCAGTCTACGGAATAGTCCGTAGTGGAAATCAGGGATTAGTAGGAGTAGAAAGATGGGAAAATACAAACCTTCGTTTGATGCTCCTGGCTATTAGTGCTGGTCTGGTCGAAGTAGGCGATACAAAAAGTCATACTAGTCTCATCAACCCGTCCTCAGTGACTACAAAGAAGCAAAATTGCACCGATTTCGCTGACAGTAGTAGCCAAATTAACACGATTCAAGGCAACATCGTGCCTTCAAATAATATAAAGAATTCACGTAGTCTATCTCATGCAGATTACGGTGGAAGAAATTAAGCTGAGATGTCAAAAGGAGACACTTTATTTTACTTAACGAACCGAAACTCGCGTACAATCCCGTAAAAGATGTCCGCACGATGGGATCTTGCGTTTTGGATCTCAAGTGTGCGGAGCAATTCCAGCGGGAGACAGTATCGTTCCAGAGCGAGATTATAGCCCTGAATTATACGGAATAACTTGCACTTAGAGAGTCATTGCGGGGGATGGGGGTGTTTCATTTGGTGGCTTTGCTTCAGTGGCTTTCCTGTCTTCGGGATGCCTGTTTTTTCGCTTTACCATGTCCCCCGGTAGACGAAGATATTCCATGGAAGTTTTCGCCAATGCTTATCATTGGGTATGATGAAATCAAACTCAACGGTAGAGCAATTCTGGATTCGTCAAACGCAATCGAATGACTTCACTGGGAAATTTAACCGCTTATCTCATATTGCACGCGTTGGCGATATAGAGAGGTTACATCTTCGGCTTTTTCCGCATAATTCTCGATAAGCGCTTCTTATCAAATAACAGAACAACGGTATACCTAGATGACGACATCACATTTAGTTATGCCTGTACGTCGAAACCATCAAATTCAAACACTTCAATCAACAGTTGCAGCATACAGGACACCTGTAAATGCACGCCAGCAGAAGATACAGTTTCGTGCTATTGCACGCACAACGATATTACGCACAACGATATCCAGCAAATACGACACTTGTCAAAAACATTACCACTACCGCTTCCCGAACGGGATCATAAAGGCCGGCCCCAAAAACGTACCGGTAATTCACACCACCGCTTTTTTCGTTGAGCTGGCCATACATGTCCCTCCATCGGTACTTCAAGTAGAACGGGAAGTAATGCAATTCACATGTAACGTTGTATCAACGACCCTTACAGGTTGCTACAACTGCTACAAAGGCGCGGTCGCTCTAATCGACTGTACAGCGGATGTACCGCAATCGACAGGCACAAGTAACGTGTGGAATACGTCAGTTTGTGCTTACCTGTACGCGAGAAGGATATAAAAATCATGTCAAACTGTTTTTCAACCGGGCGCGAGTCCGCGAACAATGCCGCGTCCAGTGCGGTTCTCACGTCATCATGGAACTCCATGGAACTCTCAATTATATCAACGGCATAAGACCGTTCTGGAAATACACCAAACTATGGAATCAAACACTTCACAACGACAGCTCTTTTCAACTTGATTGGGAATTCCCAGATATTGCTCACTTCCTGGATGTCTGTAAATCGTTTTACCTTCTACACCGCAATCGTTCTCATCAGCCTTCCAGCCTTCGTCATTATCAGCGCCGCATATCTCTGCGCAAGCAAAACATCACATGGAATGGCAGCTTCAACGCCTTCAACACTCATTCCTTCTGCTTCAACGGCCTTGACACCATTCATTTTTTTCAAATTTTTCTTCAAGTTATTGAAACTGTGTGTACGTGCTCCTTTTCTTCTTATGCGCCGCATTCTGCGCTCTCTTCTCCAGTAACCGCGTTAGACTTCCAAAACCTATTCCGCGCGAATTTTCACACCTTTTCATCGCCGCCCGTCTACTTTTCTTTGACTTACCACGCTCAATGTTCACTTTCAGATTATGGCGGACCCCGCCAATGCTCAAGATATGGAAAATGACGATGGTGAGGTCCCCGTAGAACCAGGAAACGATCAAGGCAACGATGACAATCAATCTCAAAATCAAGAACAAGCAGATCGTCCTCCAATAGTCGACCGTCAACCAGTGGACGAACAGCGAATTCAAGTAGATGATGAGGAGATCGGCGCAATTCATCGCAAAGTTCAACGCATACTCGGTCGTACGGATGAAGTCCACTCTATCCACTCGCGCGTCACCAGCACATATGTGAGTACCCTAAGACAATATCTCAATTTCATTTTCCTTCAACTTCCAAAACTTATTTGCGTTTGCTTCACTTCAATAAAAATTTTTTTTCTGGTGCACATCCCCTAACTGTCGCTTTCGATTTCACTTTCAAAACCAAGGGCAAATTTTTTTTCAAGGATTTTAACATCTCTAAAGTGCGGTTTGGAGGCAAAAACTCAGTAGGGAACAGGCCCTCATCCCCGAGACTACCTGAAAGCCGGAAAGTTAGCTCGGCGTAAGAGGTATTACCTCTTCCATTATACGACGGCAATCGTGAAAGCACTCTACTACACTGTCATAGGCGAGGTCTAAATTTTCATAAGCCGGGCTTTGAGGGACTTCGCGGCACGTGTTAAGTTCGAGAGGATAGCACATCGGACCTTGACAGGGATGTGCTCGACTAACGCGTCACCGCCTCTATTCGACATGAATAAACAATCGTGCTACAGGAGATTCGGCGGACGTCAAGACCCGCAAAGCTCCTTAGGCTTTCTGAGACGCGCGCCTCCGACAACAACGAAAGCCCCTCTCTCGGGCGTCGAGTGCATGCAGATAGGTCGATGGCTCGCCTGGACGCTGTGGCATCTTTGTGATGAAAAGACGCATCACGAGTAGTGATTGCCCGAGCAGCCGCACTATATCACTGCTGCAACGGAGCATGAGGCGCGTAATTTTCACTCGAAATGAGATGCGAAAGCGATGCTATTGCGAGCGACAATCAATATGGCTACATCGGTGGCGACCGCGTTCGACAGTATCTGCTTTTAATGCCAAAGCTGCTCGCAGACAGTCAAGCTAATGGCAGCAGCAACAGCGGCGTTTACCACGCCCTTTAACCGTCCCCTCGTCGATGTTTTTCAACTGTTCAGGTGATTTTGCCTTTTCCTTCGCAAAGTTCAAGCATGTGTACTTGAAGTATGAATTTCAAAAGAAGCATTCAGAGTTGGAAGCTCAAATTTATTCCAGCTCTAGCATTTTCTTGCAACACACAAATGTTCGGCGCATCGAACTCTCTTTTTCCTGCTCTGTTGATTGTGGGTCAGATTTCGTAGTTGGAATGTTAGCTTTCCCTTGAGAGTGATCTGATTGTAAGTATGAAATAAATGTGTGACTTTACGTTGTTGCGTGAAATGTAAAATGTAAGAACCACCAAACTAACATCTGAGGAGTGATGCATTCAGAAGCACTCTTAATGGAAAACTGTTCTAGTAGCTACCTGAGATCGCATTTTGGCGTGAAATTCGATCGCGTTAGTCAAGATCCTTTAGTACAACCTCCCTTCCTGGGATATTCTCACTCATTTCATTTCAGATTTTATGAAGAATGGCACAAAAAAATTAAGTTTACTGCACTACGTGTGGTCTCCACTTCCAGGCTCTTCTCGGTGCAGAGGACAAGCAATAAAGTTAGGTGATCCTTTTTGCATGAGTTCCCAGATCCAGTAATTCTTGACAGTCTTCTTTTCCATTTTTTTCTCTATTTTGCAGAATGCGGATGGACGCTGATAGGCCGGCACTGATATCTTGCCCTCTGCAATGCCATTCTGGGGCAAGAAGAAGGAATGGAGGGCCTCCCAGAATGTACGAAGATGACCCTGCGCAACGGCACCACAAACTGGCAGTTACTTCACAAACTGCCGCTACTGCGAAGAGAATTCGTAAATTCGAAAGAAATGTCGTCGTCGGTTTGCCGCTGTGTCATCGCTTGCCGGCTACGCCACTGAATTTTCCGATAAGCTCATAGGTCATAAAAGAAAGAAGAAAGAAAAAGTGAATGTTACTGAAGTGTATCTGATTCAGCCTATCCAAAATAATCAAAGTGATTCATACAGTTAAAATGATCGAAAACCACGCGTTCCAAAATCTAAACACTATTCTGAGAATTTGATTTCTTTGAAATAGCGCCAGTGCAGGCAATCCACTCAGTGTTTTCATCCTGAAGGATGACACATGAGTTTACAGTTGATGCAACGAGGCCGTCAAGCGCAGGATACGACGTTGCTTCAGGCTGTGTCCAAGATGATTCTTAGAGGAGAATTTTGCAGTGCGTATGCTATCTAGGTAAGTCTGAGCCTAGCTGATTGTGAGGAAATTCGGTTGGATGTTATTTTCATAATGTAGCTCGCACAAACAGAAAACAAGGTATTATCCTAATGGTAAGGAGCATACCATTTAAGGGATGACAACTGCGAATCTTGTGGACCATGACAACTCAAAAACATGCTATCTGAACAATGTCTGCACCAAGAGAGATTCTAATTATAGTTCAATTTTCACTTACAGCCAAGTACGCTGCTCAATACAAGTCGCGTTCCCGAATGGAGCAGTTTGACGATGTAAGCGTGCTCTCTCGCTTTCATCTATGCCAGATTCCCCTTGCCTAAACGCTGCCCTAGGCGAAAGTGATTAGCTCAATACCTCAGCCAAAGCTGATTCTTTCCACGTCCAGCCAATCTTAGCCGACGTTTTCTGCCACATAAACAACTTCTGGCCGCTTGTACTGGCTTATGCTCTACTATGTTACTATCTAGGCGATGCGTTGGGAGTAGTGAGTTGGTAGCAGCACGAGCAGCAGTGGCGTCACGCTCATAACATGAGTAGTAACAATCGCGAAGTGGTTATCCGCTGGGATTTAATGACAAAATCGACTGCTCGCGATAAACCAGATGCTGTTCGTTTCTTTCATCCTAGCAGCTACTTATGGTGAGTCCACGGAGATTTTCACTGCTTGACTTGTAGTATGTATCTACCGTAGCTGTCACTGATCCCACCCCAATTTTGATGTACGGAAGGGTATGCTTCATTATGTAAATGATCTCCTGGAGCATTTAATGTTTGTGCCGCTAGGAATCATTCAGTCGTGCGTCTGACCCCGATGCCTTTCCAGTCTCCCTCTCTCAAGCTCATGCTCTGGCCAGTTCGACGGTCATAAATCAGTTTCATGATTTATTGTGCCAAATAGGTTTTTAGATGAAACATCATTGAATTCGGCCTGATGTTTCGACGGGATCGTCGTCCTCAGAGGCCTAAACATAGCTCAAGGTTTAGATGTTGCACCCTCTACACCGCCAAACGCCTCGACACCCTAGCGTTTTTGACGGTAGTTCAGGAGGACTATCGAAAAACCCGGATGGGAGAAACGGAACATCCATGGTGGTGGACTGGTAGGGTCTCTCCCATTCGAGTTTTTCGGTAGCTCTGCTGCAATTCCATCAAAAAAAGCTGAGTTTTGGAGGCGCCCGGCGTTATAAAGTATTGAACATCTACATCACGACCCATGTTTAGGCCTCTGAGAACGACGATCTAGCCGAAGCAGCAGGCCGATCTCAATAGAGTGTTCCACCTAACAATCGCTTTAGCACAATAAATCAAAATTTGCAAAGTTTACAACAATGCCAAGGCTTCATGGAAGCAAAAGTTGGATACTAGTCTTATCGGACGACCAGGCAGGCTTTTCCAACTGTTTGTTCCCCTCGATGTCGATCTATTATTATGTGAGAAGTTCTCTTTCTTTTCTGGATACTCAGAAACTTTAGGAACCAATTCAATGCCAACACGGTAGAAAAGTGCCCTTCCGGGATAGGCCTCATCATTCTGTGCCGATCACGGTTCAAATCATCCAACTCTACTTTCTGGAACAGCATGTTCGAATAAATTGATCTTAGGAAACTGAATTTTCATTGGCAATTTCGAAAAGCTTGGCAAAACTACTGGAACGCGCTTGACGTTGGCTTGTTCCTGGTTTCTTTTTCCGCTTCAGTATATTATATGTATGTGCCCATATTTCTTCAAAACCCATTATGCAAGTCATTCAATGATAACCAACGCAATTTGAAGGTGTTGTGATAATTCGATTTACAATGGAAATGCTGCACGGCAGGTAAAGTGTCAGTGCCCTGATTGTGAGTCGAAAGGTGCACATGCACTAGTATTTGATACTGTTAATACGATGTCTATTAAAATGCACCTGTTTTTGTCGGCTTTTTTTCAGCGTGTCCACCTGTTTTTTAATAGTATAGCGACATTGTACACTCAATTTAAATGATGAAAAATTCCTCTGTGTGAGAACATTGCGCTTTCAACTCTCTAACGGTTTTCTAGATTTTACAATCGCTAGTTCAACTGAGATCCACTTGAACGCTCCGCTCCCACACTTTAGTTGACATGACACGTGACTAACTGCTTTTTCGAATTACGTATTTAGTAGTGGTTTTACTCACACCCCCTCTAAACAACATTTTTTTGCGGTCTGTATAGCTATTTGTTGCGAAAATACTGTAACACTATGATATCAGGTTTCAAAAATTTGTGCTTACAGCAATATCTAATGCGTAAGGTGTGATATACAGGGGGGTATGCAGATATTGTTGGGAAGGTATACGGTAAGTTACTGTAGGATGATTCGGAGCGTATCTCATCCTTTTA